ATCCTCAAGACCCGTACGCTTGTGACCAGTCCTACGCGCGCAGACTACCCAATCAAGGGTCTACAACGACACCCCGTTAAGGATGCCCCGGGTTCCGACATTTCCAAATATCTCAAGTTCCCATATCCAAACCACATCCACAATTTCTCAGTATCCATCAATTCCCGAATCCGTAACCAAGGAAGCCCACACGCCGGAAAATCCAATACCACGTGTGGGTATAATGACCAGGGAAGGTACATATGATGGTGGAGTTCGTGACCCTTATATAAATATTATATTATCTTCCTAATTCAATTTTCCCAAATTCCTTTTCATAGTATAGACAATAAACTCTCAAGCATCTGTTCCATATCCGGGGAGGTACATAAGGTAGTGCTAATAGCACTTCAAACTAACCTTCTAATCTCACATCTTTCCACATCACGACAACATCCCAAGTACCCCACACATAATAAATAAAGCTAGCACTTTCTCAAATATTATATATATACAGCTCAAGATACTCGAATATGTCAAAACCCAAATATTCACCTCACCATCACAAGGCATCTTAACTCATATAAATATTTTGCCCAAATATTTCATCAAAGAATAAATATCAATTTCTAAACATATATAATCAGTATTCCGAATAATTTTAATCTCAAATATCAAAATAATAGAAATTCTCACAATTTAGCGACCTACTTATATATATATTCATTCCATGATCATATAGATCCATAGTAGATTTCATGGAAATTTAATCAATGAGAATAATATTATTTTAAACCAACGATTATTCACATGATCATAAATTTCATAAAAATCCTAAAACAATTTAAAAAATAATAATAATAAACACTTGTTTTCACATAAATTCCTTATTAAAAGAACTAAACACTCTTAAAGACAAACGTCCACTTAAATATTAATACTCAAAGCCGAGACCCTAGACTCGCTTTCAAAACCCATTGATCAAGTAACTCGAAATCATATATTCCAAAGTTTCAAATATTGCACAAACTTCAAATGACAAATGACATCCAATGACCTCACAATTTAAAACCATAAAAATAATCTCATAGCCCCACATAATCAACATAAATCAAATAATGGTCAAGACTCGTCAAAAAGGGTCGTTCTAGTACTCCTCGAAGAGTGAAACTACCTCAGAAGACTCGCGATCAACTGCCCAAATTTGGTGAACTAGACCCTCAGGGCCCACGACCTCCGTTCTATGATCCGAACATTCCTATGGGTTCCACAAGGTTTAGGAAATACGTCCTACAAGTTTGGTTCAGATTGGACGGTCGGATCGCTCGCGATCGGACGGTTATCGTAAAATGCAAACTTTAAGTTATTGAATCAGAACATCCGGGGCTCCGATTCACGATCCATGAAATCCTAGGCATGTCTAGATCAACATATAATAAATTGGAGTCGATCCAACGGTTCTAATGTATCGAACCGGGATAACGCACAATATGCGATATCCGATCGACAATCAAACGACATCCAAATTGAACTCCGAGCACACCTACGCGCTCGTGAGAACTAAGAGAACATTTTAGGACAGAAAGTGGCCCCACCACATTGCCCACATGCCTCCACACGTTCTGGCAGCACGTGGGTGGCTTGATAAATTCTCGGCAGCCAAAAAAATTCCAAACTGCTGGCCAAGCTTCCTACCCTCGGTAAAACACCTAATTTGGAACCACTTTTGTTCTTGGACCTATCCCAAAAAGTGGCCGGAAGTGGCCGGAATTTCAATTGGAAAACCGGCCAAACTTAAATTCGAAAATTGACTTGCCTACGCTAGAAATTGATGCAATCCTACCCAACCATCAGCTAGAACACGTCGAGAGGATGAGAAAGCATACCTGGATCGCAAAATTTGGCCATCGGAAATACCCGAAAGAGCTTCCGAAAAATCTGTCCAAAACTGTCCAAAACAGCCTGTATTTCTTCATTTTGCGGAAAGAACCGGTGGTTCCAGCGGCTGAGGTGGGTCGGGATGGGAATAGGGAAGTAGCCCGGTCATTTTGGGACCAGTCCCTGCGCGAGTGGCGGTCAGTGGTGGTGGCGGTGAAGGAGAGAAGTCGCTACCGTTGCAAAAAGGGGGGGGGGGTTTGTTTTGTAGAGAGAGAGGGAGAGATCGTGAGTGAGGAGAGAGAGAAGAAAAATCAGATTTTATCAAACCAACTTTAAGAAAATTACGGTTATGCCACCGAGGGTATTTTGATCGTAACTTTTTCGTTACAACTCCGATTCGGGCCCACTACGTGTCTACGGACTCATCTCAGTACGATCTATGTTAAAATACCACTCGCTACCCCCAAAATCTTTCTGGATTAAAAATAACCAAATTACCCCTACTCCCGAGGGCAAAATTGGAAATTCAAATTTTATGAAATTAATTAAATTTAAGAATATCTACATTTTTGGGTCGGGATGTTACATTCCAATTTTCAATTACAGTTCATATTCTTATTCATTATGCTTATAAGTTAATATGCTAGGAATGATTGATTACCATTAAAACTTGTATGTTAGCAATCTTGGTTGGAATTAAGAGTAGACACCGTATGCCTTAATTCGAATTGAACTATGAATAGGAAGACTATGTATGGACATTCGACAATAGAGATTAGATACATGCTTGGTCGCTTAAAACATTCTTCTATACTTAATGGATTTTTAATGCTTAATTTACGTTCGACAACAAAGGATCTAACTAGGGAATTAGGAATACAATGTTAGAACTAAACACTATGGCTTAATCATACTTTAGCTAGAATCAATTTGTGAATCTGAATTGAACTTGTTAACTTAATTACTTGAGTCTTAGAATTGGATTGTTCCCCAGTGTCCTAAAATTGTTTTTAACCCCAAAACCAGTTCTAGTGTCTTTCTTCTTTGTTTGTTTAAACTTTATGTCCTCAATTCTTGTACTCTTCACAATCATCTTTAAACCTTGTTTCCATTTTTGTTTTATGGAGGGAATCGAATTGAATCAATCTATCATCAATCCTTGTGGGATCGACCTCGTACTTACATATGCTATACTACCGAACGACTTGTGCACTTGCGAGTATCGCAAGTTGAGGATGCAGCTGAATCGATTTTGGTGCAGCTGAATCTACCCAACAAATACCCATAATATCAAAGCTTAAAAGAAACTATACTCAAACGTCATCGAATCGAATACTAAGAACGTCAGTACTTACCTCCACCTCCAAGCAAGATTTCCCAAAAGATTAGTTAGGTCTTTTACTTTGGTTGTAATGGAAGGCTGGGCTCGGGTTAAGAAAGAAAGGAAAAAGCCTTAAGTGAACAACATCATTCGTAGCTCCATAGACTTGATTTTTTTTTTTTTGGTCAAGTTCTGAGACTTGATTGGTCTCCATTAAATCTACAAATAGCTCCTCCAATTCCTCCACCATCCCAAGATTTTTTTCCCATTGGGAGATATCTGCGGCATCTTGTAACACTACTACGTTTTACTATTTGCGCAACGATAGTTTGCGCGACGACAAAATATGCGTCGCATATAACACTTTTGCGCGACGGACAATAATATGCGTAGCGCAAAGAATAGCGACGACAAATAGTCGTCGCGCAAAAATATTTAGCGCGACCACACAAAAAATCGTCGCATAAACCAAGGGGGAAAAACCGCGAAAGATTATTCTGGCGCCAAACCCCTGCGCGACGACTTTTCTCGTCGCACATGACATCTTAGGGCGACAATTATATTTTTCGTCGCGCGACTTTCTTTACGCAACGATTTTTACTCTTGAGCGACGAAACGTTGCGCGACGAATATACGTAATCGTCGCATATGATCGTTGTCGGTAGAGCATTTTTGCGTGTCGAAAAAATATTTTGCGCGACAGAAAATTTTATTGCGACGAGAAATGTTTCGTCGCGTGAAAATATTTTCGACAAAAAATGAACGTCGCATATGATCGTTGTCGGCTACTGATTTTTGCGCGACGACAAAAACCTTTGCGCGACGAATCCTATATGTGCGACGAGAAATATATTCGTCGCGCAAAAAATGTCAAACTTTAGGGTCTTTGTGCGGCGAAAAATATCGTCGCGCAAAGTGGATTTTTTTGCGCGACCATATGTATTATTGCGCGACGAATTATATGCGTCGCGCAAAAAACGTCGTCTACATCGAGTTCAGCCATGCCAGAGGCAAACTGCAAAAAAAATCTGCAGCTTACCTCTCCTTCTCTCTTCCTCTCTCTGAAACGTTTCAGTCCCAAAAAGCTATTCAATTTCATTTCCTGTATGAGTTGAACTACCTCTACCACTGCTAAGTTCGTTGGGTATGTATCTTTTGTCATTAGTTTAAAAGTATTAATGTAAATTTATACTAAAAATATTAATTTCATTGTCTATAGGGATATTATATGTGATTAGCGATTGGTGGAGAACGATTGATAAGGTATTTTTGTTGTTTTTTAATTTTTTTTAAAAATTTATTACATTATATTTATATTGATTTATGAAATTATATTTGTAATATGTAGTTAAATTATGCATGTACGTTGATGTACGAAGTTAATTGAAATTAACTTCGTATATTTATTTTTTTGGTAAAGCTTAGTTCCCGTTCGAGGTTAGTTGGACCGCGCATGGGTGGGTAAACCACGACTACGGTCCAATTAATTCTTGAATTGTCCCATATTTTGGACAGTTTGGAAATGCATAGTCGTGTCACGTAGTTTATAGCTACAGGATTAGGTTTCGATTGTGGAGATTTCGATGTCATCTCGGTATGTTCTTCGGGTGGTACGTAGGTATTTTATATCTATGGTACACCTCAAGAACTGTACCGAGATGCTGCCGAAATTCATCCACGTCGAAATCTAATCTCATGTAGCTGTAAATTACGTGACGTGACTATGCATTTCTGAATGGGATAGGCCCTTACCGGAGGCATAAGGAAAGATTTTGTACGAATACAACATGATTGTTGTATTGTGATTGTGGTGCCAGGAACGATGAGCAGGAGGTGGATACAGAATCCGAATAGGTGCGCAGACGAATATTTGGATGGAATCGAGGATTTCATTGACTTTGCACGGACACACAACCCGGGTGCAACTAGAATCCGTTGTCCTTGTAGGAGCTGTAACAACACGTTGTGGGACACAATTGAAAATGTTCGATTTCATTTAGTGAGGAATGGAATGATTGAGACATACATCACTTGGAACCATCACGGGGAACAATTAGACATTGCTTCGTCTTCAAGGGCCACAAGAGTAGATAATGTTGAACCCAGTGTTGATCCTAATGAACAAGTTAGGGATATTATAAATGATGCATTTCCATTTGCATCGACCAGCAGCAATCAGGAAGGGGAAGATGACGTGCCTACAGAAATGGACAGTGCAGAGTTCGAAAAGTATGAAAACCTGTTAAGAAATGCCAACCAAGAGTTATACCCGGGGTGCGAGAGCTTTTCCGTTCTGACGGCGATTGTGGAGCTAATGCAGGGAAAAATAAAGTATCGTATGTCGAATCTGTGTTTTGATTACTTTTTGGGGGTTTTCAAGAAAATGCTTCCAACGGACAATTGTTTGCCGAAAGACCACAGGGCGGCACAGAAGATGTTGAGTGGTCTTGGATTGGGTTATGAAAAAATCCACGCATGCAAAAACAATTGCATGTTATTCTACAAAGAATATGAAACGTTGGATACATGCCCTATATGCAATGAGTCGAGGTTCAAACAGACGTCTCATAATAGAATGACTAAGGTTCCACAAAAAGTCATGCGTTATTTGCCCCTAAAACCAAGATTGCAGCGACTGTATATGTCGACACATACTGCCACAGACATGAGATGGCATAAGGAAAAACGGGTAGACGACGATGTGATGCGGCATCCTGCAGATGGGGAGGCATGGAAAGAGTTCGATCGAACGTTCCCCGAGTTTGCTGCTGATCCCCGGAATGTTAGATTGGGACTTGCCACAGACGGATTCAATCCGTACGGGGTTCTAAACCAACACCACAGTACTTGGCCGATTTTCGTATTCCCATATAATTTGCCGCCTTGGAAATGCATGAAAAAAGAGTATATGATGATGACTGTTTTGATAACTGAGGATCCTGGCAGGTCAATCGATGTGTACTTAAGGCCGTTGGTTGATGAGCTCAAGGATTTATGGATAAACGGTGTGCGCACGTACGATAAATCCACCGGGAAGATGTTCACTTTGCGGGCGGCAGTTATGTGGACTGTGAATGATTTTCCCGCATATGCAATGGTGTCGGGGTGGAGCACAAAGGGTTATATGGCATGCCCTGTATGCAAGGAAGATGTGACTTCGGGTTGGCACGCTGGAAAAGTGTGTTATCTTGGACATCGAAGATGGTTGCCATGGGACCACGAGTGGCGGGAAAAGGATAAAGAGTTTGACGGGAACAAAGAGCGTCGC